ATTTTTTCATTGTATTGTGGTTTCTAAAACCAGAAACTTTGAAGTAAATATCCTTTTATTAGCACCTAGTAGTGCAGAAAAAGGAAAACTCTCACATACAGACACTTCACATCACTTTTCTAAGAAAAATATACACTTACAAAATATGTTACAAATTGGCACACTTAAAAATATACAAGATTTTGTAGGTGTCTTAAGAGTGATCCTGAAGCTTTTTACTTCAATTGACTCTACAGATTATATATAAAGCTTAACTCTAAAAGAAAAAAGGCAAAACATTTCCTAACATTTTGAAGTTGCAGTGTCATATGTCAAACAGAAACTTAGGTTACATTCATAAAAAGGGCCTCTAACATTTTTATTTTAAATTTTCTGAAATGCTTAAGGTGTTTGGAGGAGGAGAAAACAATGGAAATAATTGTTTTATTTAGCACCATAAATCAGTAACTTACTAAAGAGGTGCATTTAGTTCTATGGAAATTAAATTAAGGACTAGTACATTCAAAACTCTAGGCAGCAAACTCCAGTCAGTGCTACAGGTATCCCAGTAAAGCATTTTAATATTTCTACCTTCCTTACTGGGAGTCAAAAACCAAAGTCCTCTCCTAGTTTTCATTTTAAGCCTTTTCTTTTGTGCTGTAAAGCCAGACATCTCTCAAAGAGGCAGAATGATTTAATTATCTCCTTTCTTCTTTTTGAATGGAGTGTCATTCTAAGGCTTAAAAACCCCTGAACCCATTAGATGAACAGACATCCTTTCCATGTCATGTTGATGAGCATTTCTTCAGTGTCTTTAGTATCTCTTATTTACCCAGGTACTGATTTTAAAAGCCTCACTCACACCTTAAGCTTTGTACTAAGCCTCTCTTTCTTACACTGTCCTTCTTCAATGCTTTACCCCTTAGTTATGATTTCGAAATCAGGAGTTCATCTCAAGTATCAAGTAGCTGCAATAGCAACTCTGCTTCATGCCTGTAGCTATTGATTTTTTTTAAAAAAATGCTCTGGGTAAAAAATGTGCCTTAAAGGGTAGCCTGAGGACTGTCATCAAAATAATCCCATGCTGGCTGAAGACCCTCAAGATGGTGACAGTATTTCCGAAGTTAAACAGCCCAGCTAAATTTTTTTTTCCTCTTATTCAGGTCTTTGAGAAATCGTTACAAAATCCCTAGCCTACATTGTGTTGACAAGATTCCTATTTGTTACTAAAATGTTTGGTTTCAGTACTAAACCTTCTAAACATAACCATAGGCTTAGTGAATTTTATCATTAGAAAACAAACAAATCTCACATTATTTTTATTTTATAAAAAGGGCATATTTCTGTAGTGATGGGCAGTCACTAAAAAACCCCTAAACAAAAACTAAAACCCCTTAGATAATTTCTCAACAATACAGGAGAAAACAAACATTTCTAGTTCTAGCACTAGCTAAGACTAGCTAGTGCTCCATTCTTCTCTTCAATGCAGAAAACTGAGCTCTCTTCAATTCTTGGAACCGTTCTGAGAGCATCTTTAAATTGAAGATGTTGTGGATCTGCATCAGACTGTTCAGCTTGGTAAGAGTAAGCTTGGTTAAGAGGTCCTTGGATACGGTTTTTCTCCTTTAGGCAGTAAATGCTAATTCAAACTCACTAACACAGAAATTCAGTATAACTGCAAACCTCACATAACAGGATACAGGATGCTAGCCAGAGTTGTTTACAGCTTGCCAAGCATCCTTTATGATTCTCTCTTACACGTATATCCCTCCCCAAACAGATGCTTCCCAGAAAGTAAAAAGATCAGAGAAGGTGAAAGTTGTCACGAAAGTCCACCTAGCACCAAGGACTTCAAGAAGATGGCTGAAGAAGTGATGGTCAAGGTAGTGCAGGAGGTTTGAAAACAGTTGGGAAAAGTAAGGCCTTAACACGTAACTGTACAGAGTAACAACAACAACAACAAAGTCAGAAGGGAAAGCTGGGAGGAAGCAACATATGTGAGAAAGCCGGTATATGACTCTGGAGAGGCAGAGAGTAGCTAGCCACTGGATCAAGCCAGTTACCACAGCCCCAAACACAACCCCCAAGGTCTTGAAGAACTTTGGTTCAGGGCCACTGTTTCAACACCCAGTTCCACATTGTACAACACCTAGCAGGGCAGAAAGAAGATCAGACCTATTCTTAACAGATATTCAAGGAAAAGGAGTTTCCAACTTTCCTCAGCCATGCTCGCATGCATGCATGTGTGTTTAAAATTAGATTTGAAAATGGCCAAGGAAATTCAAGGTAATTAAGAATGGGAAGGTTTGACCCTGAACTTCAGGAAGAAAGCAGCCTGGCTAAGGTTCTTATATGTTTCTTATTTGAGGAGGTGGAATATATGATTATAAAAGAAGAAAAATTCTAAGACCAAAGACTGAGATTAAGTAAGAAGAATAGGGGGAAGATACCATTTCCAAGAAAGTAATGATTAAATGGGACCCTGGTGGGGAGGCATTAATAGGCAGCAGCTTCTCAAAGAGGCGTTAGAAAGGTGCATGGTAATCAAGAATTTCAGACCAAGGAAAATTCAGTATTTCTGACTTGAGATATCAATGATAGGACAAAATACTGTTTTTATATCACTCCACTAAGCAGCTGGTTGAATAAGGGATCTCCAAAAAGTATGTCTACTATGTTGTGACAGGATGAAAAAGAATTGTGAGAACAGAGAAGGGACCAACAGAGCCCTAAAAACTGATGAGCTCAGAACATAATGTACTGAGAGGGATGTTAAGTGTAGTCAAGAGAATAAGCACCTTCTGCCCTCAGTCCTTGTCCCATTGCTCACTTCTCAAACTCAGTTTCTCGTTATGCTTCAGTTCAAAGTGATTGGTTATGAGTCACTAATTTATATGTTAAACAACATATAATGCACTGCAGGCCAATAAGAAAGGTGCTTTAAAATGCTGATTGATTCTCTTCAGAGAAAGGGATGTTCCACGCCCTAGAATTGGCCCTTAACTGACTCCATAGGAGTAGCTGAAAGAGTATCCATTCCAAAGGACTCATGACAGCAAGTTCTGACAAAGAAATTGTTTCCAACAGTTCCAGGCTGTCCTCCTACCCCACTTCCACCCCATTCTCCAAAGCTTAACTGATACTGAAAAACTTGGACAACTGCTCCCACTTTTATTTTTATAAAAAACATATTGTATTCATGGAACATTTTCTTTATTTCTTCTTTAACTGCTACATTTTTTATTACATAGAAAGCACTCCATTCTTGTAAGCCAGCAGGTGACTATGAGGTCTGGAGCCTTGGTGATCACAATACAGGCAGAATTGGTGATTCCAAACCAAAATTCAGCTGCAAAACAGAACAAACAAAAACAAAAGAAAGACCCATTCCTAGGAACCAGCCATAGCGTTTAGTACAAACAGCTAGCTATCAGAGTAGAGAAACAGAAGAAAGTGTTCCAGTTTGATTATCCCCCTTTGGATGGCAGCTGTAGAACAGGGAGACATATTTCATCTGGTGCCTTTCCATTAAGTAATTTTCCAGGATTCACTGCACACAGGGTGGCAAAGTCTAAGAATGGACCTGAACCAGCCTCGTAAAGAGCTTCTCACCAACTCGTCCCCACAGACACAAGAGACTGATGCTGAGAACACACACAATCAAGAACACAGGCTTGTTCATTTTACTACTTATCTGTAAGTAGTAGAGCCGGCTGGTGAAAGGAATCATGGACTGGGAAGTGTGTATACTTAGGTATGTGATTGACTTCCTTCCATTTCTCTCTGACTACTTTCAAGTGTTGCTTCTTTGTGAATATATTTAGGTGGCAATGACTAGGTAGGTTCATATTTTGCTAAAAATTTCCATTTTGAAACATCTTCCTTTTTTTTAATCCCCCTTTTCCCCACCCACTTATTCTCCACCCTCCCATCCCCAGCCTATATATTCCCAAGTTAATAGGTTAGTAACAATATTAGTAAGAATAGTAAGAGTAACAACAACAACAATCAACAACATTAATAATATTAATTCCCTATATCTGTATAGCACTTTATGACCTATAAAGCGCTTTCACATCCATTATCTCATCTGTGCCATAATGCATCAGTCATAAGACACATAGGCCTTCAACTGTGCAAGGAAAATAGATCAAGTGTTAGAAGTCAAGTGGTGAATAAAGGGGAAGAAAAGGCTACTAGTAAGGGATGTTGGAGCTGTGAAATTAAAAGAAAAGTGAGGGGAAGGCTGAATTTAAAAAGAGATATATATTTTTTTATTTATATAAACAAATTAAGATTTAAGTTTAGTGTGTGGCATCAAATACCAGTCATCCTCAGATTAAGTATATATGGCTCAAATTAGTTGTTACCACAAAGTGTTCAGCTTATCTGATATTATATATACTTAACTCACAGGAAGAAACATTTGGTTGAACTGAGATGCCTTAACATTTTCTTTAAATGACATTGGCATTGCAAGATTAAACATATAAAGAACACTAAAGCCATGATATGTGTGCACTTTTGACAAAATTGGAATAAAACATTTAGGGAACTATTTAAATAATAGCAATCTATGTACTTCATTTATCATTCATGTTGCTTTTATAGCTATTTTATAATTTATCCCAGACTAATATAAAATATATAAAACTGAGATATAAAGTATCAGCAATATAACTTTTCACTTTAAATAATTTTCAGCTACAGATTTTGGTTTTAGAAAACAAACTTTCAAAGCAGCTGTTTTGTTACCTTGTAAAAGGTTCTGTAAATGCATATACTTGAGTCCCTGATGGACTTAGCTGCGACTTTCAGACTTCTCCAACATTTTAATCCTTAGACAATGGAACAAACAAACCTTCATTGTGCCTTGTTTTACTGTTCATATTTTCAAACAGGACAATAGAGTTTTAAACTTTAAAATAATGTATGTAGGCATATATATTTTTAAGATTAATTAATGAGCTTTAAACTGTGGGGTGAATCTGTGAGATGAGGTAAGGAAATTTGGCACATTTCAAACAGTATTCTTTAAGTTTTAGTAAATTGTGTAACACAACATATTTTCCCACTGTGATCTACAGGTGCTATTCACATAAGTGGGGGTGGGTAATAGCAAGAATCACTGGAATGTTTCTAGTAAATCAACAGGGACAAACTCCCCAAATACAACCAAATGTTGATATAGAAGTAAAAATATATACAGTACAGTCACTTATTTGTAGTTTGGCACAATGTTTTCCATTTTTTCCTTGTGGGTATATAGTGCATAAACTACTTGTGCAACTGTATGACTTTTTAAGTCTTTTACGCAGAACATCAGATTAAAGTTTGCTTCCAAAGACTTATTCCCACAATTTAAAATTCTTTTTGTTTTTTAAAGCACTTACATGTCAATATACATACCACAAGGCATATTTTGAAAGAAAATAAAAGACAAACATCAAATGTCTTTCTGGAAAATGCGAGTCTCTTCTTCAAACACAGGTAAAACCCAAAATGCTGTTTCTGCTTTTAGGAGACTGTAGTCGGAATCCCTGCAGAAAAATCAAACAATTTATGCCATCTTAGTTAACTTTTGTGTATGTCCCACAAAAGGATCATACAATCTAAATTTGTTTACATCATACTAGATGCCGTATGATGCAAAAAAAAAAAAGATACAAATAGCAGAGGACACTAGAAAGCACTCCAAATTGACACATGATGAGATTTTATTTTCCAACTAATGCTCTTTTTGTTTCAACGATCTTGACTTTTTGTCTACATAACTTTTTAGTTCTGTTGCTCAAAATGTCTTACTGCAAAGCCCTTTCCTTTCCAAATTCATTCAAGAGCATATTTTAGTACTATTTTCTTAATAAGTAAAAACTAATGCTGAATAGTAGAAAAAGTAGCCTTGTTAGAGCTTATCCCTAGCCAAGCCAAAACAAAATTGCCCAATCTTTTGGGTGGCTTAAAGGTATAGGGATTTTCATGCACTTTTTTCTTTTCTTTTTAATTTGAAAAAGAAGGGAATGGGACAGTTTCTTTCATGCAAACTTTTGCTTTCAAGAGGGAAAAAATGAGGGACTGCAGGCTTAGCAGGCGGTAGGAAAGCTAAGGGTACATCATCTCAGCCATTTTGGTGCAGTATTACCTCAGTTTTTCAAAAGAAGCTGTCCCAGCCTCATCCTTGTAGACCTGTTCTCGCTCCATGTGCTTTCCCTTATATTTTTCATCTCTCAGGGCCTTGGAGCTGGATTTGTGACGATATAATTTTTTGTGTGTTGGTCCATTATTGCCTAAAGTGCTCAGGTTATTATACTTTTTATCAAAGAAGGCGGAGCGAGAATCCTCGTTATAACCAGGTATGTTTGCACGGCCAGGATCACCTATTGCTGCTTTCCCATTGCTTTTGCTCACACCTTTGATTGACCTGTGATTCTTAGTGGTTCCTGGGGACCCACTGTTGACCTTTTTCTTACATTCCTGTGGTGTTCCAGCCAATATTTTGAGGGTTTTTAATTTTAGACTATTGGACTCAGGAGAGTAGAATATGTTGGGTTCTCCATGGTGCTCCATGGGTTCCCAAAGGGGCTCTATGGAGGCCATCATGAACCTCTGTACGTCTGCCATACCAGAGGCAATGTTGGACAAGATATACGAAGGCTCTTGGAACTCCCGCTGGTCATCGTCCAGGAGGCTGTTGGTGCTGGTGACCATGCTTATGTCACTCCAGCCTGAGCTGCCCTCTTTTCCCAAAGCCCAATCTCCAGAAAGTCCCTTCTGACCCGGCATCTTCATAGAGGCCATAGGACCACCATGTTGGATACATTCAGCCAATGTCTTCCCAGTGGAGGCTAGGTTGTTGATTTGGCCTCCCCCACGGCCAATGCCAATTTGCATTTTCTCTCCATTGATTGCAGCCATGTATTTCCCTTTCTTTGTTGACTTAGAGACCTGGCGGGAGGTTTTGCCAGGTGGCTTTTCAATCCCTTTGTTGTTGGCTTTGGGGGATTTTTTCCTGGTGTTTTTCTGAGAAGAGCTTTGGTTCACAGCCCCACTCTTGCTGGGTGAACTTTTCTTTCTTGATTTTGACACTTTGTTATTGGTGGTAATTTGACCAGATGGCTCATTAAACGTTGACAGGCAAGGGTTTTTTTGGAGCAGGCTGACAGAATCCTCATCATTGAACATATGGAACTGAAACTGATGGTTATTTAAAGTAAATCCATCATCCACTTGGACCTGCTGTGAAAGGGTATTGCAGTCCCACTTGATTTCATCCATGTTGCCTAGTGATCCTGGGACACCCTCTTGGAACTCCTTCAGCGTTTCTAGTGTTTTGATACTCTCATACCTGGTAATTTGAGGGGAAAGGCTAGGGGTGTCAGGTGGGGACATCTCTGAGAGGGAAGAGTGGCGGAATTTGTCAGGAGTGAAGTTGGAGATATCCAGGAGGTCAGTGGACTCCTTTAGTGGTGTTATCTCATCAATGCTCTGCTGGATCACCAGCTTGGGGCTGCAGTGGGCCAGGAAGTCATCGGTGATATCAGCATCAGCATCCTTTTCACAGGACATCAAGCTTAAGGAGCAATAATTACTTGAGCTGACAGAGAGTGAGGCCATTGAATCAAAGCTAAAGAGCCGACTATCATCCATATTGACTGGGCCCTGCTGGAAAGGAAAGCAGATCTCTCCATTATTAAAGTGACACAATTGATAAGAGCCATCAGATGGGAGCTGGGTGTCTTGCATGGAGGCATATAGGACCTTCTTGCAACTACTGCCACCACTATGGAGGCAGACTGGATTGTATGTTGTAGCTGTGAGATTATTTTCCATCGAGACTACTTGGGAGACTCCAAATTCATTAGATTGGGTTGAGACTATCTCCCTTGAGACTTCAGCCATGAATTCCTGGGGGCTAGAAGTAGCCTTGTTGGTCCACACATTCCCATAGTTGCTTGATTCCATTTTGAAGTTATGGGGTGACTGCTGCAGCTCAGATTCCGAGGGTGAGGGGAGCACAGAGTCCTGGGTAGGCTGGAGAGGTACAAATGATTTTTCTGTTTGAGTCAGAGTGCCATCATTCTGCTCTGGAGAATGGTGGGTGAAGTATGAGATACTGGTGTTATTTGACAAGTCAGAAGCATCTAACAATGTTTGCAGATATCCTCCAGGGATAACAGGTATATTGGTGGCAACGTTAGCAGATGATAGAGGCATTTCAGAAGAGCAGGTGGTTGGTAGGAATGTGGAATTCTTAGCAACCTTTGCCTCATGAAATTCAGATAGATGGGGACTGTTTGAGGTCCCAGGAACAGCTTCATTCTTTAAATTGGCCTTGGAGGACTGGTCTTCCAAGAGAGGGCTCATTTGAGCAATTGACTTGTTTTCTTGCCCAGCTTTGATTTTCTTGGATTTTAACCTAGCTTCACTTTTAAATTTGATTTTGTTGAGCACTTTCCTCTCTGGTCCCTTAAACTCCATGTCTTGAGCTTTGACTTTCACTGATTCAGGGCCTGTGATGTCATTAAAATGTAATCCATTTGTGCAGCTCTGGGTAGTCAGAGCTATGGGCTTCAGTGTACCTTTCAGGCATCCATCTTCTTTACGATTAGCTTGCTTCCGATCGTTGCAGAATGAAATCTGCTTACTACTTGTTGAAGCTTCCATGGATGGGATTCTTTGAATCCTGTGCCTGTTACCATGTTTAGATTTTCGTTTGCGAGCAGGTGACAGGAATGACACCTCAAAGCTACCTGGTTCAAAGCTTTGCTTTTGGCATAAAGATATCTTGATGGAGTCTGTGTTGCTGTTTCTCAGCTTCTTCTTCTTCTGCCAGAAGCCCTTCAAGGGGGCTAGCTTGGAATATTTGTTGAGCTGATTCTCACTCAAATTCACTGTTGTCTCACTGGCATCCACCTTACCCAACTTCACCAGCATGTTCTTCTCACCTTTAAAGCGGTTGATGATGATATATTTGATAATAACAGGGGGCTCCTTACGGGTTACTTTTCTTCTCTTTTTGGGACACCATTCATCATCATCTTCCTCTTTAGAACCAGCTGGCAGCCATTCCTTCTTCTCATTTATTTTTTCACCCTCTAGTGAGTCGACATCATATAAATAATCTTCACTGTATCTGACTTTTCTCTTGGCTCGCAGCCCGTAGTTCTGCTGGGAGGAGGAACTACCAGAATTAGTGTCCCGAGCCATATAGCGGCTACAGTCCTTGATCTCCCCCATGGCATCATATGAGACCTCAATGAAGGAGCTGTCATCACTGAAATTCACTGATGCCTCTAAGGAATTAACAAGATGGCCCTGCCTTGAATTTTTTAAGTGTTGTACCTCAGTCCCACTGCATGGTTTATTTAAGGCAGATTTTTCTCCATTCTCCTTTCTGTCTTTTTTCCCTACATCTTTGTTTTCCTGCCCTTCCTCTTTGCCTTTCTTTTTGTCCAAGATTTTATCTTCTTCCCCCCAGATAATGCTCACGTCAGGGACCTTGAATTGGGAAAGATCGCCGCTCTGCTTCAGGGCCCCACTCTTAGTTTCCCGCTTGGGACAGGTAGTAAAGACACTGGGAAAAAAGTTGAATTGGGCATCTTCCTGCATCAGAAGGGTGGTCTTGTCTCGAACATTGTCCTGGAAGGACTCATATCGAATTTTCAGGGAGCAGACATCACTGCCCAGTGTTGACTCATCATCATCAAACATGTAGTTATCCACATCTTCTTCAGAGAATAGGTTGACAGACAGCTCATTCTTGGAACAGAGGTCAAGCAGTTCAATCTTACTCTCACTAATGAAAGTCTCGAAGTAACCCCAATCCTGACTGGAATTTGCAAGCAAAGCCTCTTCTGTATTGCACTTATCCAACAGTAATGCCTCATAATAATTTTTCTGAGCTGGATCCTCCAAGTCGATGTCAGGTTTCTCAGCTTCTCGTTTATCTCCTGCCTTTGATTTGTGCAGGGGGAAGCCTAGGAGCTGGTCTGAGAGCAGCTGCTCTCCGTATTTTATGTTTTCTCCAGCATTAATACATTGAATCCCTATATCAGAGACTGCACATGTTTCATAATCCCTACTTAGATCACCAACTTTCAGACTGATCCCTGGCTCAGGATCTACTGCATCCTTGGATTCCATGAAGCAGCCCAAGCAAGTCCGACTTGGCTGCATGAGGCAGTCCCCGTTCAGAGCTGACATGCCTGCAGGCTCCATTATGGCAAATGGTGCTTTCTCACACTCATTGGGGAGTGACCATGTGTTCAGGCCCTTTGCAATTCCAGATGTGAGGGAGATGGCATTCACAGAAGCACTATCAGCAGCATGTTCAGGTGGTTCAATCAAGTTCAAAGGAGACGGAGGGCTCTGTACACAGGGCTTCTTAGAAGGCAGAGGCAGGATACTCCTGGGATACATCAGGGTCTCTTTTTGTACCACTTGTGTAGGCTGGATTGGTGCAGCAGCTTCTAGAGCTGCAAATGACTTCATTGCCACATCCTGGTCCTCTGAGTCTAGAGAAAAGAAAAATAAATGACAGGAATAAAGTTAAGGGTCTTAGACTAGACTCATTAACTCTTTTTCCCTTGATCAGTTTCTGGCTCCTGATCTTGTTATATAAGCTAAGCCTCATCTTCTCTAGCTTTAAAAATAGAAGCTACAAAGTTAAAGAACAATTTTAATTTTTACTGAACATTCATGTGAGTGAAAAATAATAATCATTTAGGCTCACCTTTTTCCTCAGAGAAAGACAGAGCCCACCTCATAAATCAGGAAAGAATTGGGCTGTGTGATCAATTGGAATGTCAAGGCTTTCAAACTGGGAAAATGTTCAGATGGGACATTCATGGTTTTGAGCTATAAAGCTCAGTCCCATTCTTCAGATCCATGTTCTGTAAACCTTCTTTAAACCTCCATTAAATTTCAAGCCTCACATCAGAGCACATTTGTAATTCACTAGGAATTTTGAGAAACTTAGGAATTCATCTGACAGAGATGATTTGGGAGGGCAAAGGGGCCAGATTAATTAACCTCTTAGAGACCCTTTTAGCCCAGTTAGTGATTTGGTGGGATAAAGATTAACATCAATCTCAGAGGCATCCTGGGCTCAACCTGCCTCAACTTTGTGGATACTGAAATCCATAGTAATAACAAAGGACTACTGGGAGAGACAGTCTATATGACAATTAAATTCCCTTACCATTTTCTTTGACCCCATTAATCAGAGTGTTTTCTCCATTGGCTGAGGCAACAACAGCCTTATCTTGTTGGTTATCCATGAATGTAGTAACCTCTTATTCTTTCATTCCAAGTCCAAATGCTGTCCAACCTGCACATTTCAAATATATAATACCAGTCATTAAATTTGTTTTACTCTGTGTTTTAATGTTATTTCAGCTAGAAGGGTCTTAAAAGGCTCACTGAAATTTACCTGTTTCCAGACTGGTTTCATTAGGCTATTGTTTTTGTTTCATAGTTTATACCTACCATATAAGTCAATTTGGAAACTCACACTTCATTCATACATCCTAGATCCTTCTATCCCTTCGAGGTCACCATGCTATTCAAAACTGAAATCTGAGGAAGCAGGCAAACTTATACCTTATACTAGATACTAACAAATTTAACCTAATCATGGTTGCTCAGTTAGGAAAGATGCAAAGCAGAGTCCAGACTAACATGAGATGAGGGGTGCGTGCATGTGGAGATTGGCTTTATTTCTGTTTGCCTCATTTCTACTTCAGATTATTAGAAGCTCTTCAAAAACAAGCCAATTCACACATGTACACTTATATACATCACACTCAGATTTTCTCTGTGTGTCTTAAAATCTGACTGCTAAGAATAAAAGAAATAGAGAATTCCTTGGTTTCTTGGCTTTCATGACCTTAACTCTGACTCTGAAAAGTATTCCTCTACACTCACAGCAAGATTTTTAAATGTGACTACAAAGAAGATTTGGAATTTATGAAAAGGTCCCAGCATTATCTGGTATTTTTAGGGTGCAATACACATATCCATAGCCCCTCACCTCCTGCCCACCTACCTGAGTAGTTGGTAATTACAAAGTGACAGAAGACAAAGGTGCCACCTGAGATGGGGGCTCCTACCATGTGCCACTACAACATCTATAAACCTCCTAATTATTATAACCTCCCTTTCCCTAGACCTTTTCCCCAGCCAGGTACCCATCCCTTTATTAAAAAGCACAGACTACATTTAGCCAAGCAGATATCACAAGAATCTCAATTTTATACTCATTTATCAGAATACATGCATATATTGGAAAAAGTGGGTCCAGGATTAAGAGAACAAGAAGCAGTCAGCAGACATAGTTTCACATGATTCAATATATAAGCTATTTTACCTATCTGGGCCTATTTCCTTATCTATAAAATAATAAATCTGCATTAGGTAATCTTCTAGCTTTAAAAATGTAACATGATTCCCGGTTTCCCTAATATTTATATATCAGAATTACCAAACTTTTATACAAGATCTGAATTGAGAGTAACCAATAACCATGGGTACCAGAAGAGAAAGAAACACTTACTTGCTATATTTACACAGAAAGAAGGGCTGGAGATTTTTTTAAAGGTAGCGAGGAATGGATACCAAATCAAAGCCCCGATATCTTGTCAGGGAAGGCTGTGTTGTGATGGAATTTAATGAACAAATTGGATGGCTGAGCCTTTGCTTCAGAGAGGACCTTATGGGTCAGACTGAATCTTACTGCCATCATGGATTGCTCTGTGCATCTTTCTTTTTAAGGAGCTCAATAGCACTTCGGGTATCATTTACCCTCTTTAACCCCTCCACTAATTCCATATTGGCAGGGAATTGGTAAGCGGCAAATTATTTGTAGATTTCAATAATTTAGTGTCTTCTTGTCTGTTATGCCTATGGTTAACTACAAATAAGTCCATATTTATCACCCTGAAGACCAAGGCACAGAGAGGCTATAATAGCCAAGGTCACAAAACAATATAATGGCATAAGGGAAACCAAGTCTCCTGACCCAGAGACCAAGTATTTTTTTAAACAAAAGTGCCTTCTCCGTAATTCTTACCCATTCCAGCCCCTGTCAAAACAGGGCTGTAGAAATGTTTCCACGTGTTACTGATCTGTACTTCCACCCCTTTTCGGGTAATGAAATAAAGAACAGCTGCCTCAGACAAGTATTGATTATTATTAAAAATTATATGTACCATGAAATATATACAAGAACAATACACTTAAGTGACAAGAATTATCTAATCTTGTCAGACAGGACAAGAATACTATGTAAGGGGACGTATTAGTGTTGCTGTAACTTTACTCTGGGATGTTATTTCCCTAAGAACATAAATTTCCTCTAATGGAAAATTCTGACCAAGCACCCAGCACGTATGGCTCTGAAGTAAAGGGTTGAGAATAAAGGGGAAATACAATTTGGTAAGAGATAAAGAAGAGATGGAGAAGGGGTATGGGAGCTTGATGAGTTAGGAAGGGGAGAGGAAGGGAATGCGTACTCACTAGGTGCTAGGCTGGATATAGTTACAGATGTTATCTTATCTTGTCATGGTAAATCACTTTGTAAGGTTGGTTCTAGTAGGCCTCCATGTTTTTCAGAAGGGAAAACCTAGTATCACAAATACTGACTTAGCAATTATTAATACTTTGGGACTTATACTCCAGAATTAGAAGGTTAAATCCTGAGCAGACATAGTCCTTTAGTTTTTCCCTATGACTTTTCATAGCTCACCTCTAAACAAGACATCGGCGTAAAGATATATACAAATTTCCTACATTTTTATTTATTTATACTTTGCCTGCTCATAAAAACGATTTGTGAAAGGGGTTATCTTTTTTTTAAGCTACAATACAAACAGCTTTGGGCTTGCTTTAGGTTCTCCCCACCGATCAGCATTTTAGGACAGCAAATTTTGTGGAGTTTTTAAAATCTATTTTGAGCTAAAATTGATTAGCACATTTGGAAGAATGTACAGCAAATTGCTTTGCTGATCATGGTAAATCAAGCAGTGTAATGGCATTAAAATAACATTAGCATGGAGATAGGTATTCTGAAGCAAGAAATTCTCGATTAAACGAGAAGAGCAGCCCCTTCTATCTGCCCCTCCCTTCAGTTGGTCCTGAGGAGGGTTCATAGATCCTGTCCCAGTAGGCTGCTCTGCTGTTTCCCAGAGGTCTTTAAACCTCAGGTTCCAGTGTTTAGATGACCCACAGTAGCGTTTGTATTGGGGGTTGTCCCTGGTCTCTTCCAGCTAAAAAAAAAAAAAAAAAAAAGCAAGGCAAGAAAATAAATTATGTTTCTGCCCCGTGGGCCTGGAGTGTCATAGCTTCTGGGTTTCTTCCCCCCCTAAATTTTATTTATTTTGTTGTTGTTGTTGAGAATATACACAGCAAAACATGCACCAATTCAACAGTTTCTACAGGTACAATTTAGTGACATTGGTTACATTGAGTTGTGCAACCATTCTCACCCTCCTTTTCTGAGTTGTTCCTCCCTCATTAACATAAACTCACTGCCTTCTAAGGTTTCTATCTAATCTTTCAAATTTCTGTTGTCAATTTGATCCCATACAGATAATTCTTAAAAGAGCATAATGCTCAAAGCAGGTCTATCCTCTTACAACTGCTACAGAATCACAGGTCTGACAACTTGCCTTAGAAATTTGTTAAACTAAACTATCGTTGGGTTTTAAGATGACTTCAGGGGACATTCTGGTTTAAAGTTAAAAGATTATCCCAGGGCAATAGTTTCAGGGCTTCATCCAGCCTCTGGGGTTTGAGTAGTGCTGATCTCGAATATCAGTTTAAATCAATTCAATAAATTTACTAGGTACTACCTGTGGTCACATTTTGTACCAAGCACTGGAGTGGAAAACAGATGAATGAGACTAGATATCTGTCTTCAAGGTACTCAGAGTTGAGTGGGGAGAACAAGCCATAGACAAATTCTAATAAAGGTATAATACACTGGAAGGTACAGTACACTGAAAGAGATGCAAATGGGGAGAAAATATTCTACGTATAGAGAAAAGAAGGATCAGGGAAGGCATCACTAGAAGCAGCAGCATTTGAGATGGACCTTGAAAGATGCACTTTCAGGAACTGAGGATGAGGAAACTAGAAAGTCATTCCAGGCTGAAGGAACTTCATGAGATGCCATGAGTTTCTCTCCACTCCAGTCTATCCTCTCACAACTGCTACAGAATCATAGGTCTGACAACTTGCTTTAAAAATTTGTTTTGCCTTGCATAAATACCCTTCTCAATTAATCCTCAACTTACTTATTCTCCTTTCATTCTGTTTACCTCTCCCCATACTCTCAAAAATTCTAACCCTCTGTGCTCCTCTGACGGAGCCCTGGTGGCGCAGTGGGTGAGAGCTTGGCTGCTAACCAAAAGGTCCGCAGTTTGAGTTCACCAGCTGCTCCTTGGAAACACTATGGGGCAGTTCTACTCTGTCCTATAGAGTTGCTATGAGTCAGAATCAACTTGACGGCAATGGGTTACGGGTTATGCTCCTCTAATATGCTAGACTATTTTTTTTGTGTTCCAGGTGTGTCTTGCACTTGATATTCTCTCTGCCTGGAGTGCCTCTCCTCCACCCTCTCTCCTTCACTTGCTCCCGTTCCCAGTCTCCCTTTCATTTCTCTCTCCTCTTCCCTACTCAATTTTTCCTTCCTTCACTCTTCCTCCCCACCCCAAACAAAATTTGTCCCTTTCCTTCTTTGTGTTCCCAAAGAACTTTGTTCTCTTCTGTGCTTATCACCCTTTAAAATACTACTTCTTTATTTCTGATACCCTCAAAAGAATGAGCTCTCCCCAACTCCACAGGGCCTAGTTTACAGAGTCCTTAGAAAACAGTATGTACTCTGTAAAAGTTAGTTAAACAATGATGTTGAATGGTAGAAAAAGATGGGGGAAAATTCAGGGAGCAGTAAGCAGTTTGGCTGAAATATCAGGTACACTCAAGAAGATATGGCTGAAAAGATAAGTTGGAGCTATACTGTGGAAGCCATCCAAACTTTAATTCTCTGAAGGGTTTTGAGCACAGTAATGTTATAAACAGAACATTAGGACCAGGGAGAGTGGGGAGAGACAGAGGCAGAGAGATTGGTTAGGAGTCAATGTCTATAGCAGTTCAGATGTCAGATGTCAAGAAGATTAGAATTAGAGAGGAGGCAATGGGAATGGAAAGGTGATGTTAGATTTGAGTAGAACTTCTGAGGTGCTGTGTAGACTTAGAAAATGATTTCGATATGGCAGGTGTGGGAGTAGTTGTCAGCATATAGAGAGAAGAGATAAGTCAAGGAGTTAACAG